TGGTTGGTAGGGAGGTTGAAGTGGCTGAGAGAGGGCATAAGGGGGACTTCTGGGTTTCTGGCAATGTTCCATTTCTTGACTTACATGGTAATTACATGAGTGCTTGATTTGAAATAATTTATGCTTTGGTTCACTTTTCTCTCTGTTATATTTCACCAAAAAATGGCATAAAGATGCAAGAATTCCTATATTTAGGGATCACTCAGCAGCTCTGAAGCTGAGTAATGACAATCAGCACAGTAAAGAAATTTGGTACATGTTTCCAGGAGTTAATCTATCCTATTTAGATGCTTTTGTGCCTCAAGTTAGTAGCGACACCATAAATGGAAATAAAGGCATTACACTCAAAATTCTACACATCATGGGTTCACTGCTTCTTTCTGTGCATGTGGTCTGCTCGCCACTGAGACCCAGGTTATCAAAAGCTGTGTCTCCAGACTCCGAAGAATAGGTTTGTTGTGATGGCCTCCTGAAAGTGATATTCACTGAGGATTTGATTTTTATGGGAATCATAAGAATCTCAACAGACCAGTCTTCATGTGAAACATCTGTTCCTCTTAGGCAGCATAAAATCAATTTCAAAGTATTGTGCTTAGGTTCTTCTTTTTTACAGAGGTAATAGGAAACCCTTTACCAAGGTCACCCTCACACTTATTTCAACCAATAGCATCACACAGTTTTTTCCCCACTTACATCCTTACTCCTAACTAACCTGATTATACCATGTAGATGAGGCATTTGCTTAAATACTTTTGCATTTCATAGCACCCAGTAGTGAATTAGGTATATAACAGGCTCCCAACAAATGCTTTTATTGTCTATATGTTTTCATTACTGTACACATATTTGAAATATATATATATATAATCAGCAGTTTTTCTACTGGTACATGATTTATAAATTTGCCTTCTGAGAGTCGGCAAGAAGCATATTCATACCTCAATTTGGACAAGAAGTTAACTACATTTACATTTTAAGTATGCTGGTAGTGTTAGATTGAGCTTAGGCAAAAATTAACAGACCCAACTCATTCCAAAACTAATCTGAGGACATTGTGATTTATATAGTATTTTGGCAAGAAATCTATGAATTTTACATGATTGTAAGCAAATGTGTGAATTGATGTTTCAACGCTTTCCTAATAACATCTGGAAAGGGTGTGAGAAGCTTGAAGACTACAGCTGCTGAACTGTCAGACATGAAGGGCTTTTCTCCTTAGAGCACTCAGTCATTTTCTCCTCCTGTCCCTTTTCTTTGCTTCATGAGAAACAGCCAATGGCTTCCCCTAGGAAGAGTATTGTACAATGGTTAGCTAGAAGCAGTAGCTAAACGGGAGTTGGGTTCAGGGATTCTAGAGCTAGACTGGATAGCTGTTAAACAATCTTTTAAGATCTAGAGATCTAGCATACAAATCAAGTCCTTCTCATTGTCTGAATTCTCTCAGAACCGTTAAATAGTTCTTTTGCATTAGTCAAATATTAATAACCCTTAGAATGTCTTAACTTCTTGACAGAGCCTGTGCTAGAAAGGAGGTGCCTCATCAGAAGGGAGGTAACTTCATTGGGCTTCAACCCTTTCTCTTACCAAGACTATTCTTTGAACAGCACATTATGCCATAAGGAACTTTACTTCTGATGGTCAGATCTGCAAGATGGTTTGTAAAAGCCTACTGAAGTGATATCTGAGATTGGATCCACAATGCACTGGAAGTTGTATTATTGTGACCACACCTAATCATTTACAGCATTTTTTTTTTTTTTGTAAAATACATTTATAGTCCTAGGTCAGTATGTAAGAGACAAATATTTCTCCTTGCATAATTTTCTTCTCCATACCCCAGTGTGGGTTATAACAGTAGTGAGGGAAAGGAAAAGGGTAGGGTTGAATCTTCAGGCACCAATACTTATGAACTCTGTAACTATGCTATTAAAAACAGTCACCATTAGCCACATGTGCCATTTAAGTTTAATTAAAAATATAATTAAAAAATTTAGTTTCTCAGCCATCCTAACTACATTTCAAGTGCTCATAGTCACATGTGACTAGCAGTGACTGTATTGGCTAGTACAGATATAGAACATTTCCATCATCATGGAAAGTACTGTTCTATGAAATAATTCTGTATATCAATTATTAGCTAGGCATTTTCAATTGGGGGAAGATAGGGAAATAGTTTCTATGAAGACTGTGGCTACATTCTCTCCCCTCAAATTCAAATTTATAAGTCACTTATAAATTACATATAAGTCTCATATTCTCGTGATGGATATGAACTCTGCCTCATGGAGTTTATGGTTTGTTGGGAGAAACAGATATATGCAAATGAAAAGCTAATTAGCAAATTGAGGTCATACATGGTAAGTGAGAGAATAAACTTTCAGGGAAACAATAGAGACAGAAAGGATAGTGTACACTGATGTAGTATATGTAAGAGACAATAGAAAAAGAGGCTGAAAATAATACAGAAGTTGACAGAACAAGGTGATGGTGATGCCACTGGTGGACAAGAGGGAAGCATAAAAGGGAGGGGTAAAAAGAACTCAGTTTCTGCCCCATTCAATGAAGCACAGGTAGAATCAAGAAATTATATCCTTGCAAAATAAGAAAATGATCTCCTGTGTCAAAGGTTATATGAATCTCAACTCTATAATTGATAAGTCTAAACCACTGTTGTTATTATTTTTCTCTGTAACAATTTCACCAGTGATATCTGAGATTGGATCCTAAAGATAAAGCAGAAGATAAAACATGAGAAAATAGAGATAATACCCAGATGAACTGAGGAGACAGCATGGAGGAATATTTTTGGCTCATTAGTTCCTGTATTGAGCCACTTCCATCTTTTCTAGAGATCATTTTATCAGGTCAGAGGACATGTGGCTTTATTCAGATTGTGCAAGACAAAAAGACCAGTAGGATTATTTGTGTGACATTGGAAGGCACAGTGGGTTTTACAATTTTAAAATAAGAGATAACCCTTCCAATAGACAATGAAGTCAAGTAAATGAAAGGTGGCTAGGATCTCTCTCTTTTGTTATCAAATGTGCAAGAGCAGACAGCCACTTTTCTGGTCACCAGCTGAAACCTGAAAATGCCAATCAGAACAGAGTCTGCTGTGTTATGAGGGTGCACAACAAAACAGGGTCGATGTATGTAAAAGTCAGAAATTATTACTAGTAGCTGACAGGCTTTGATATTTAATTATATAAGAGCAACTAAAGATTCTCTTTCTTAGTTATAAATACCTAGGAAAGTGCTATATGTGTCTCATGTTTTTAATGTTCTTGTATCCATGAATGAAGTCCTGATAGCTCTGGTAGCAATTTCTGAAATTCTTCCTAGAATTCAATCTGTAAGAATTAGGACTGCAATTTATACCTAAAGTAAAATTTGTTTTAGGAAGTTCAACTTTAGAATTTGAAACCCCAAGTGTATATAAGTAAGTTTTAACACACAATGTTAATGTCCTCAAAACTCTAAAGGTGGAATAAAGACAATAACATGAAGTATACAGTATTGGAGATAACATATAGTTATTTCAGAAAAGACTCTTGCTCTCCTTAAGCCTTTATCTGCAAAATAAGGATAATAAAATCTGTGTCATTATGTTTTTGCAAAGATTGAGTAAAGAGATATGTATAAAATGCTTAGATTATGGGTATTTTTATATCTAACAGTCATAAGCATTTCCCATGTTTCCAAAGTAGTTCTAAATTATTTTAATAGCTGCAAAAATACTTTATCATCTTGATATAATTTATTTAGCCACTTCTCTACTGCTAGACATTTGGATTGCTTTCAACGTGGCTTGGCATTTCTTTGTATATGAATTTCAGAGGACATTAGACCTGTAAAGGCCATATAATATATTTTAGGGATTGTGGGATCACACAAGGTCCCTGTTGCACATTCTTTTCTTTTTTCTTTTATAAACAAGGCTTTTAAAATATAAAAACTATCATCTTGAGGGCTGTATAAAAGCAGGCTGCAGCCTAGAGTTGGCCCTCCAACAGTAATTTGCCTAGCCCTTAATTGATAGTTTTTAACTAGTCCGAGCCTCTTTGGAATTTCACTGTGAAGGCATAATCTCAGTCTTAGAAACTGGGAGGACCCTAGACATCAGCTGTCAATCTCTAACTGTTCTTCGGATTCCTTTACCAATATTTTTCTTTTTGTTAGGAAGGCATAATGTGAAGGTAGTAAAAACATGGAGAATGACAATGGTCAGTGTACGTGGGAGTTTTTGTTTAAGCTAATTCATAAGCGAGACAATGGCTGAAAACAGTTTTGAAGCGCTGTCCTATGAGATCATTTAATTTCAACAAGTGCCATCTTCCAGAAATGAAGTCAATTTGTAAATGACTGACAGATCTTAAGAACAGTTGTTGAGTAATTTCTATCTGTAGCAATAAAAAACTGCTTCCGTTAGGAAGGGCGTAGAATCCAGTAATGACTGGAAAGAGAACTAAGTTGCAACTTAGCTTTAGCATTTATTACCCTCATGCTCTTGGACAACTTAAATAACCTCCTATTTTTCATCTGTAAAATGGAGACTACTTACTTGAGATTTAGCATTAAGCACAGTGCCAGGCACGAAGATGAGAAAATGATAGAGCTATTTGCTCTAATGGTTAGAGACAATGAGGGCCAGTTTTGAGTTACTCAGGTGGCTCTGCAGGAAGGGAGGGCAGAGGTGGTACATTAGAGTCTCTTTCAGGAAAAGCACGGTGCTGGGTCGGTTTTCCGGTCCAGTAGAACCGCTCACTCCTGCTCCAAGGTATCTGCCCCGGAAAGCGCCTCCAGGGGCCCAGGCCACACCCAAGGACACCACCCAGGATTCTAGCACAGCTCAGGGGCGCTTGTGGTTTGGCTCCTGATCCAGCCAGCCCGGTGTGGGCAAACCCGCGGTCCGCTCAAACTCACCTGCTAGGCAGGTGCGCACAGCCCGAGGCATGACCGGGGAAGGCGGGCGCGGTGGGCGGGGGCAGAGAATACGAAGCTCCTGGCGCATGGCACCCGCCGCCCAGTCGCCGCGGTGGCTGCCGGGATGCGCCGCAGCGAATGGTCGCGCCGGGCGCAGCTCTGAGTGACCTTTCACCCCCGCCCAGCGGTCCCGGGCGGTGGCACAAGGCGGAAGCCATGGCGGAGGCGGCGGCGGCTGCAGCGGGCGGGACGGGCGCAGGCTCCGGCTCTGTAGCGGACCGGGACCGGGATCGGGACCCGGACCGCGCCGGGCGGAGGCTGCGGGTTCTCTCGGGCCATCTGCTGGGCCGGCCCCAGGAGGCTCTGAGTACCAATGAGTGCAAAGCGCGGAGAGCCGCGTCGGCGGCCACGGCAGCACCCACGGCCACACCCGCCGCGCAGGAGTCGGGAACCATCCCCAAGAAGCGGTGAGTAGCGGTCTGTGGAAAGAGCTGGTGGCAAGGGAACAGGCAAGGCCTGTGCTGCGGGGGGGCACAGGCGAGGTGGGAAAGGAGGTGACACGGGTGGGCAGAAGGCATCTTGGTCCCTGGAAGTAGGGACCCACCTCTCTTTCAAGAGGGAGTGTACGAGACCCTGAACACTCTCTGGAAAGGGGGCAGGATGATATGGTGGATTTTGGTCACTATTTGAGGGTAACAGATCTGAAGAACTCTCATTGGAAAAGGTTTTAAAGGGATTCTTTTTCCTGGGTTCTTAGTGCCAGGCATTCATTCTCTATCTTGAATGAATACTTTGGGGCTTGAGAGCTTGGATGGGTAGCAGGGGTTCTGTTGTGTTCCTCCGGATTGAGATTTAAGTTTGTGCTAGATGATTACAGGGATCTCTCTTAATTCGTGAAAGCCTAGTGTGGAGGGAACTGATGGTGCCATGCAAATAGGTGCTGATTGGTTTCTGTGGGTAGTTTCCGTTTGCTTACCGGCGTGGTCTTTGACTTGAAGGAGGAAACCACTGAGTAAGTAAAATGTAATAAACTACAAACATTAGTTAGTGATATAGGGTATGGGTGCTATAGGTACTGAGCTCTGTGTAACCAGAAGCTAAAAGTCTGTGGGTGAGGGATATAAGAGATCTTGACTTACAACTTTTCGAGGACATCTTAATCTCTGATGAAAGCTACTGAGAGAAGCTATTTTCATAGATGTGGCGTTGTCAGCGTGGATACACTGAGAATGAAGAAAGATGTTGCTACTGTTTAATAGGTACTTACAGTGTGCCAGAGATTGTGCTAAATCCTTTATTTTTTACTTCTTCCCAAGCTATGGAGTAGGTGTAAGTTTTCTCCCATTTACAGGTGAAGAAATTTTTATAAAAGCATCTGCTGCATGCTTAGCAGCTATGCTGTGTGCAGCAGGTTAGAATTTGAAAGCTTGTCAACATTGACTTCAGGGCCAAGTTCTTAGGTTATGCTGCTTCTGATGAAGTAAGTTGTTAATTCAACGTACATGAGTTCTTACTCTACAACATACACACTATACTAGCAATACAGAGATTTAAAAATGCAGTATTTACTCTTAGGGAACTAATAGCCTACTAGGTAAAGTTATTATATAGTGCGATCAAGAAGCTTAGCTGGTAACTGTAGCACCTGGTCACTTCCTAGTTTTGGGTATGTGTGTGTTAGGGCAAAGGCTTCTCAGAGTAAGGATTGTTTGAGTAAATACTGAAGTTTGTGTTGGTAATAGTCTGCCAAAAAGGAAAAGTGTTCTTGTCAAACAGTATGTTAATAGGTGAGGAAGTGAGAGACAGATTAGGAAACTGCTGGGAGCTAAGTTATGTGGCAGAAAAAGGTGAGAATGACTGGGGATCAAGGCTAGAGAGGTGAGTCTTGTTTGCAGGACTTTATGTGGAGCAAAACATAATTAGATTTACCTTTTAGAAAGATCACACATTGGGAGCAAATTGAAGAAGGCCGAGCAGTTTAGCAATATAATGATTAGGAATATAAATGTGGGTTTGAATTTCTACACAATTTCAGCTGTATGATCTTGGGCAAGTCACTTCTCTCAGAGCTTCAGTTCCCTCATTTATAAAAATGGGGACAATAATTTCTACTTGTCAGTGTTGCTGTAAAAATTGAAAAATATAAAGTTAAATGGTCAGTTGCTTAGTGTAATACCTGTTACATAAACTCTCAAAAAATGATAGCTACAATTTTTATTATGTGTAAAGACAGACTAATTAGGAGAATGCTATCCCAATGAGAAATGCTGGGATTCTGAACTAAAGCATAACATTGGGAGTAGGCAACCTATTTAAAACAATATGAGGAGGTAAATTTTTCAGAACTTGGTTACTGAGTGGTTGGGGGCATAAGAGGAATCAAGGATCACATCTTGTCCTCTGGCTTCACTTAATGTTATATTAGCTGTTGTTGGTTTTAGAACTTTTAACTTTTCTAAATGGCTTTATGTACATTTATGTCTATTAGTAAGCATTTGTGTGTGATTGTATGTTTACATTCAGGTTTATACTCTTAGAACTAAGTAGGGAGGGCAGGTTTTCCTTATGGTTGGATTTAGTGGTCTTGGTCTACTGAATTCAGAGAAAAAATAGTATGTTTGTAAGGCACACTGAGGTGATGGATGAGGCTTCCCATGACTGAAGGTGCCCTGGGTGGCTGTTGCAAGGACTGAAGGCATCAATAGTTCAGGCATGACTGCTACCTATTTATGACAGAGGTTACAGCTGGTGGGAAGCTCTGGTCTTTGGTTCTGGCTGAGATGGCTTGTGGTAAAATCTAGTCCTGTACAAGTACGTTGAAGTTTAATCAAAGTATAAGGGAACACAAAACTTTATTAGATGACATATCAAAAGTTTCCTCAGAGAGTAATCTACTTGATAGATTATTCATGGAGAACCCAGGTCTCTTTTCTATTTCCTGCTGCTTAGCTGGGCTTCAGGTTGCCAGCAACAGAACTAAGCCTAAAGCAAAGGCAAATGATGGAGCAAGAAATAATCAGAGTGGATGTCCAATAAAGTGTGAATATGACTGTGTGTCAGTTATTTTGGAATCATTTTTTGATTTGTGTGTTACTCCTTTCCTTTTGTTACATTGGATGATGGCATTGGTTGTAATTGTTTTATCTCATGGCTGTTATACTTAATATCATCAATGGGTTTAGAGTAGTGACTTCTTGAAACTCCATGTATCATTCCTCTTACAGATTAGTCATGCATATGTTAATTTACTTAACATTTATAGGGTAGTTGATTTATGACAGGTACTGTCCTACGTACTGGAGGTAGGGATGAATAAATAGTCCTTGGCCCCAAAGAATTCACAATCTAGGAAGGGAGAGACACATTCCAGTACAGTTTGGTTAGAGTCATTGTAGTTACAGGTACACATGTAGCACAGAGGAAAGAAAGAGTGATATACTCTACCTAGGGAGCCAGGGGAAGCTTTCTGGAGAAGGTTTTAAAATGTGGATGATAGTTTGGCAGGTTGATTGGATGGTGAGAAGAGTTTATTCCAGGCAAAAGGAATGGCATATGGCAAAACAAGGAGGCATGAAAGTGAACATTTTATTTAGGTAACTAGACAATTCAGTTATTGGTAGAGGTGGGAGTAAAGTGAAAAGAGGAGGGCAGTGGCAGCCCATGGAGGCCTTTGGCCTATGAATCATCAGTCCATTCATTTAGTCACTCATGCAACATATAGCAGTGAACAACAACTCTATTCTTATGGAACTTATATTCTAGCTGGAGCAGAGGCACTGAACAAACAATAATATTAGTATGTTAGGTGGTGATAAATGCAATAAAACATGAAGCAGGTGATAAAGAACCTCTGAAGGAATTGAACTGGGAAGAGACACAGTCAGATTGAGTTTGAGTTTGAGAGAAGTCACTTCAGCTGCAGTTTTAGGAATGGATTACAAAAGTGTAAGGATGCACATAAGGAGATAAGTTAGGGAAAGGCTGTTGTAGCATGTGAGAAATAATTAAGGATTAAGCTAAGATGATGGCAATAAGAATAGGGAGGAAATTATGGGTTTGAGAGTTTTGGAAGGTATTGCATTAGGTGATACTTTAAAATTATGTATCTAAATTAATGCCATAAGAATTTGGAGAGTGAATGAAAATAGAATAGGAATGACAGAATTCTGAGGAATGACATTTAAGAGTGCTGACCTGATGGCTGGGCATGGTGGCTCATGCCTGTAATCCTAGCACTTTGGGAGGCCGAGCGGGAGGATTGCTTGAGCTCAGGAATTCGAGACCAGCCTGAGCAAGAGCAAGACCCCCGTCTCTATTATAAATAGAAAGAAATTAGCCAAACAACTAAAAATAGAAAAAATTAGCTGGGTGTGGTGACACGTGCCTATAGTCCCAGCTACTTGGGAGGCTGGGGCAGGAGGATTGCTTGAGCCCAGGAGTTTGAGGTTGCTGTGAGCTAGGCTGATGCCATGGCACTCTAGCCGGGGCAACAGAGTGAGACTGTGTCTCAAAAAATAAAAAAAAACAACAAAAAGAGTGCTGACCTGAGGCAGGAGGATTGCTTGAGCTCAGGACTTAGAGACCAGCCTGAGCAAAGAGCAAGACCCTGTCTCTATTAAAAATAGAAAAATTAGGTGGCCATTGTGGCATGGCCCCATAGTCTCAAGCTACTTGGGAGGCTGAGGCAGGAGGATCACTAGAGCTAGAGTTTCAGGTTATGATGATGCCCCTGCACTCTATCTGGGGTGACTGAGCAAGACTGTCTCAAAAAAAAAGAAAATAAATAAAAGTGCTGACCATCCAAAACATGTTGCTTAGTTGTCACATGGTCTTCTATGAGTTGGTTCTAATTATTTCAATACAGGAACATATATTCTCATTATTTGAAGTTTCTGAGCAGAGTTTTGAGTGTGTTGGTTTACTTTTGGACTTCTTTTTTCTTTAAGTGCATGATATTCCATGTATGATATCTTTTTACCCTTGCTTCTGAATGCAATTTTAAATTCTTAAAAATCATAGTAAATGGCAATTATGTATGTGACATATTTATGCCTTGGTTCGGATTGTTTTTTTCACTTTTTAAAAACTGTTGTAATGTTATGAAAAAGACAAGGAAAAAATATCCTTAGCGGACTTTTGGTCCTTCACACTGCTAATAACCACTTTCCTAATTGTAACTTTGGCTCTGAACTCCTTGTGGTTTGCATTAGTTAGAACTGCTGTATGGCAGTTTTTACAGAGATTATAAACTCTTCTGGTTCAGGTCAAAGGAATACCTGGTTAAGAATGTCACTAATTAATTTACTTGCTTAGAATGTCATTTATGTATGCCATTAAAAAATAATGTATTATTTAACATCTACTAGAAGTTTTAGTAGATATTTTCTAGAAGGAAAAAAGCTGAATTAACCTCTTCTAAATGTTTTCCAGGAGGGCATTCTGAATCCTGTAGGAGTTGATGCATTTC